GGGAACAACTCTAGAGCTCTTTTCATGTCCATGCATGCTTCCTCTTTACGGTGCAAGTCCCAATAGCAGTCTGCTCTGTCTCTAAGCAACTCAGCAGCAAGATTTGGTCTGCTGGGAGGGGTATGCTGTATTCCATGAGTGAAAAGGATAACAGCTTGGTTCAGTTCTCCAGCACGCCGAGCAAGGTCTCCTTGATGGCCACACTCACATGGATCCATGAGTCACACTCTTTTTATTGGCAAAGACAAAAAAAGCTCAAAACTTTGATAATAACATCCAGAGACAAAACAGATTTTCACTTTTCTTCTTTTGTTTTAATAGCTTCTTCCTCTTCTTGCCCAGGACATATTATTGTTGTTTGTTTGGACATGAGTCAACCACAAATGGCAAGAAGCTTTTGTTTCTTCAAGAATTTTTCTCACATAAATAATTGAAGCCAGACTCATTCTGGGCTCTAGGACCAGTTCAAAGACCACTTGACAAACTCTGACAATTCCATCATTATCAAATCATTTATCAAAGTTCTGGGTTGGGGGATTTATTTCAATTTTGTAACTTTTCAGTGAAAGTTTCTGTTTAAACTTTTTGCCCTTCAATTTTGGCTTTGACCAATGTCAAACTCCAAGAAACATGGACGGTGAAAACACTTTTATTCAAGAGAAATAAGAACTTTGTTTAACTTTTAATCCTCGATTAGCATCAATCCACTTTCGAACAACTGGGTCCTGATTTCTATCAGGGGAGGGGGTACTCCCTTATATGGGCTAGGAGTGTGCAACCCTGAAGGGTATGGCTTTTGAGTGATTTTGGTCTAAAAAGGGTAAGTTTTTCACTCTGGCTTGACATTAGGTATTTTGTTTACAAGAAACTATTTTTTCTCTACATCAGCGTTGGCAAAATGGACCTTTTCAGCAGTATGGCAGCCATTTTGAATTCTATTGTTTCAAATAGCTATTATTGGATGCTCAGGGGGTAAATTAGTATGTATTTGCCTCCTAAGCATAATTCCCATATATAATGGCTATTTGAAACAATAGAATTCAAAATGGCTGCCTTATCATTATACCCATCTCAAATGTTTACCCAAATGGTAGACATTTCTGGTTAGTTGCGGTCATATGTCATAGCCGTGTACTAATTTTTGAGGTCTGAAATGGGGTATTGATACCTGAAAATAGGGTATGGTAAATCACAGATTTTGGCCTGAGACAGGGACTGGTACAGGTTTCAAGGTTTGGGCCACACAGCCCCACCAAAAATTTCCCCCAGGATTTCTTTAGTTATTTGTGAGAAAATCTTCTTTGCTGGTTGGACATTTTTCCAAACTAACAACTGAAGTCAAAATTCATGCTTATCTTGGATTTGTTTGATCAGACTCTCCGAAGAAAATCCATGAGCTCAAGGCTTTTTAAAAGTCAAATCTACTAGACTAAACCACCAAAATAATATTCCCAACCCCATCCTCAGATTTCTTATCGCTTGCAAAGGCTCCTGAAATGTAAAAGTATGTCAACAAAGAATGTCAATCAATCAATGAGTTCTTTGTTGGAGTGCCAAAAAAGAGAATTTCATTCATTTGCCTACGGTCGACGTTGGAGCGACTATATACTAGGTGGAACTATATAGTATACTGAGCGTACAGTGAGGAAACACAAAATATTTATTAAGCTAATTAAGCTTACATCGATGAAGCTTTATACAGCACTTACATGAGTAACATCAAGGCTTAATTCCCCATCAAAACATAAGTCGCGTCCATGATATATTTCAGACGGCTTGCTGTCCACACACAATCATTCACCGATTTCTGTGCACAAAAGGAAACGTAATTAATAACCTGATTTCAGAGGGATTAAGGAATTAGATAGTTCTCGAGATAATTGATGGAATACTCTCCCAAACAAAAGAAATCTTGCCTTTGACTTTCCTTTCAACACGCCAAACGCTTTTCGCACTTCAAAGTTTTGTCAACGGAAGGATTTTAGTCTGGGTTACAGAATAAGCTTCCGTTTACAAATCTGCAGCTCGCAATGTCGGTGTTATTACAATTGAAAGCAATTCTCAAACGTTGACGGTCAATATTGTCGTTAGGTCCAGTAAGCAATGGTGAAAAATGTAGTCAAATGAATATTTTAAGACGTCACTCCCGACACAGCTCACTGTACTGGCATGCTGTCTGAAGTCCTTTAAAACTACAATTTGTGCTTTCCCCCCTCACAATATCAGAGGCTACCTGTTCTGTTAAAGAACTCAATAAGATTAACCTTACCTTTCAGGGAAATAACAAGGCCGTTTTACTTCCGACAACACAAGACCCACGACTTGTGAAGGCAGCAAAAATTCATGGAATCGCTGTCACTGACAAACACAATACGAAGTCCAAGCGCTTGAAGCCCAGATGAGCCAGATATCCGCTTCGCTGCACAGCTGCAAATCACGCTAACTATTTCCTTTGTAAACTGCCAAGATGTTCACTGTTCGAAATCTATCGAGAAACGCTTCGTTTTTGCTGAAAAAGTAGGAAAAAAACTTCTTGACCTCAAGCACATGGCAGCTTTGAGCGAGAAGGTAATGTAACATGTCACGTACGTCATGTGATCACGCCCGACAGACCGCGCGATACCAACAGTTAAACCGCGTTTTCGCGGCGTACTTGTGGGTCGCTTGCAGGTCTTTGTGCGCTTTCGTTTTCTTCGAAAAAAAAAAAATACACAAAAATTTTTATCACGTAGTCGGAATCCAATCCAGATGAAGTTGTCCTCCTAGTATGAGCCCCGGATCCGGGAACGACAGAGAAAAACGGCGGTTATTTTTGAGATTGAGGATTTTTTCCGCCAGTACGGCGAACGTAGTAGTTATTTTGCGATTCGCAAAACGTGAGAGGAAAAACAAATGTGCAAATTTATTCACGGATGATTACAATTATAGGTGATTTCTTTTTTGTTGATCTTGGGTAAAATCACCCAAAAAATACTTCAAACGCAAAAATATTGGTTGATTCAGCCTATAATTTTGATAATTATTTGTACGTAGTACCGCAGTGTTCTTGAGTATAAAACTGAGAGAGTAAATTGTGTCTTGCCCTGAAAAGCACAACACAATGTCTCTACAATGTGCCCGGTCCTCTTTCCCACCTGTAGGAGGCTCTCGACGGCTCGAGGGGATCATAAAATTTCCGCGTAGGAGAACTTAACCTGCGAGGGAGATCGAGATTGGCCCGAAGTACGGGAGGCGGATCATCCGTGTGAGACGAGCTTGGGCAAAGAACGGTAGGTCGTCTGATAATCCGTCTGTGTATAAATACGGGCAAGCAGCATCCATCCACACGAGCTATCGCGATAGTCCGTCTTGTGAGACGAACCATTTAATGTGAATAACTCGTCAAGACGGATGATCCGTCTGCTTGCCCGTATTTATACACATACGGATTATCAGACGACCTACCGTTCTTTGCCCAAGCTCGTCCCACACGGTTGATCCGTCTCCAGTATAAATCGGGCCATTCTCTCACCGAACAGAAAGAAAACGGAATCTGTGTCTCGCAACGTAGCTAGGGAGAACTCGCAAAAGCTGTGACAACACTCGCCCGTCGGCTAGTGTTCCCAAATTTCTTGTTCTCCTAATCCACTCGTGTTCCTATAGCTCGTTAGAAACACGGAACACGTTGTCTTTTTGTTACATAACATTTCGGCTGTAGCTCAAATATCACCTCGGTTAACCTGTATAGCCTTCGTTTAGCCTGAACAGTGCGAAGGTTAGTGCTCCGTTTAGCAAGGTATTTACACTGTAAAAGTCGGTTAATTGGGTAGGAAGTTAGGAAAGGGGGTGGAGGAGGCATTTCCTAGAATAACGAACTGGTTGCAGGCACTCTTTCCTCGTCCCTATTTTTTTAAAAATAAAATCCTCTTTAAAAAGTAGTCATGATGCGACAGTAACCGAAATCAGTACAGTATGGATTTGGAACAGAGAGGGACAAGGAGTCCATCGAGGACAGGAATGAAGCCTTTGGGTCACACCGGCCAACTGGGCCGTCAAACACCGATCAACTTGCTCCAGTGAAATCCAAAACAAGGATTGGCTGTGGTAACGTGAGGAATTAATTTCAGGCAAGCAAGCTCGGTCAGCTGGCAAGCGACCTGAGGAGACGGCCAAGGAGCAACTGGAAGCATTCTATGCTACAGGATTTAGAACAAGTGGGCTGTTCCTGTGTGGGGGTCAAGTTAAAGCACTAGCAAAGAACAGTGTTTGTTTAAGGGTACTGGTGGACGCGAGGGTGTCAAGAAATGATGAAGATGATGATGATGATAATGATGATGATGATTAGGCCTTTAGTTCCACAAATATCACGTAAAATCGCCCTAAATACCATTCCGGAATTTCTCAAAATGTGTTCTAAATATTGCATGCATAAAATTTTCTAAATATTTTCAAAAAAGCCCTCTAAATATCCCTGCAAATGCAACGGTTTTGAATCCCACAGGCCAAAGGTTTCAAAATTTTCTTGCATTAGTAGGAGTTAACGTTGAGGAAGAAGCTTCGGGCGCTTCCATGTTACCAGCATCCACCATTTGAAAAAATTGCTGCTTTAGCGCTTTTAGCGGACATGGAATAAAATTATATTTTTCGAGCGAGAAATCGCTGAACTGGATTGTTTGTACCATAGAACCGAGAATTGTTTCAAGAAATAGCGAGGAAAACACAGAGCGAAGCCAAATTAAGCTATGAATATTTCTAAACATCCCCCTAAATATTCTAAATATCTCGGAAACTGCTCAATATCCCCCAAAATGTCTGGATACACTCTTTATTTTTTATAAGAATATATTTTATAACAATAACGAGGCTTAAATTTGCGAAATTTAAGAATAATTCAGTTGGTAATGCTGATGATGAAGATAATGATGATGTGCAGAGCGTTCGCTTATAGAAAATACACTGAGTAGAAGAAAGCAAGTAAGCTCGGCTTTTAATTAGCTCAACACGTTGATACAACTACGTCACAAGCAAAACTAACCACTATTCAAGGATCGAGAACCTCAAAACCCCCCCCCCCCCCCCCCCTCCCCCCCGGGCCGTCGAATAGCTCAAGCAGAGCCCACGGCCATGAGCTCCTGTTCGCAGTTAACATTTTCCAGAACATCAATTTCCACAGGCAACTACAAGTCCAAAGGAAAAAATATAAAAGTGTAATTATTAATGATAAGAAACTGTCATGCCGAAAGTCCTTGTCTACAGAAACAACGAGAATCAGCATAGACACTCAACGCTCTCCGCTGGAAAGTACCGAATCTAATTCAGTGATTGGTCGATCAGCTTCATCGTATATTTAAACTATTAATCAATGAAACGACGAGCCCGAGTTTTGTATCAGTGAACATAGGAACGAGTTCATTATCTCCTAGCGATATCTACAGTTATAAATTCCCAAGCGCGAGAAAGTTTTTAGGGCCCCGTCCACACTTCGTTGGAGAAATTTGAAAACGAAACAATCACCAGTCACTTCGGAGTTGTTCTTGAGGAAAACTCTGACAGGGAAATCACATGAATGTCGTTATGCCATCGTTTTCAAAGAGCTCTGTTTTCATAATGTTTCTCGTCCACATTGAAACGCAAAGCCGGCGTTTTCAAATTCCTCCGCTTTGAAAAGCGTTTTCGAAAAGCTCCGTTTTCGCGTCGGATTAGTGTGGACGGTCGGCCTAACCGTAGAAATGAAGCTGCGTCTCCAAATTTCTCCGGCGTAGTGTGGACGGGGCCTAATTGCTGGTTTTCAGTGTCACGCAATTCAAAATAGATCAAAAT